TGAAGAATTTATTAATGGACAGAATTAAAAACAGCAAAATATGTTCACTAATTAGAATCATAAATAATTATTTAATATTACATACAAATCGTTATAAAAATTAAAATTAAGAAATCTTATCTCGTTATAATTCGACATAGCAAAAATACTATTTGAAAATCCTATTATTTTACGAAATGTTGTTAATTTTAAGACCTCTAATTCGCATTAAATTAGTCTATGAATATCAAGATCATTAATTAATGAATAGAATTAAATAATTCAAAGATCAAGAATATAAATACTTATTCACCATTATGTACAAATCATTTTACTCGTATTAATTTAATCTGTAAATATCAAGAACATTTATTAATGGACAGAATTAAAAGCAGTAAAACAAAATTTACAAGATTATAATATTTATTTACTATTAAGTACAAATCTCTTAATTCGCATTATAATGTTTGCAAAAGGTGTAACCTCTGCAGATCAAAATGTCATATAAAATCATGAGAAATTGGCTGATTCTAGTAGATTTTTTGATTCTTAGAGAATTTTAAAGATTTAGAATAAAATATTGACGTTATTGATCTGAAATTATCAATAGGGAATTAAAATCTCAGAAATTTTCTACTATCGTCACCACGAAATCACAGGGTCACTCCTTTTTGCAAACCGCCATAATTTAGTTCTGGAGTTACAAAATCAAAAATCTTAGTACTTATTTACCCATTACATACAAATCTTTTCATTTGCATTAATTAGTCTACAAATATCAAAAATATTTATCAGTGAATAGAATTAAAAACAGTAAAACAATGAAACTTAAATACTTATTTATCATTCCTTCTATTTGCATATTAATTTAGTCTGAATATAAGAGCATTTAATTTATTAATGGGTAGAATTAAAAATAGTAAACAAGTTCACAAATCAAGAATATTAAAATATTCACCATTATGTACAAATCACTTCATTCGTATTAACTTAGTCTGAGTATCAAGAACATTTATTAATACCGGTAGATAGAATTAAACAAGTTCACAAAGCAAGAACCTAAATACTTATTTACCATTACATACAAATACTTCATTCACATTAATTTAATCTATGAATAAAAAACATTTATTAATAGATGGAATTAAAAACAGTAAAACAATTCACAAAATCATAAATACTTATTTCCCGTTACGTACAAATATTTTTATTCGCATTAATTTAATTCTGTGAATATCAAGAACATTTATTAATGGATAGAATTTAAACCAAGTTCACAAATCAAGGACCTAATATTCATTCACCATTACATTAAATCCATCTATTCACATTAATTTAGTCTATGAATGGCAAGAACGTTTATTAATTATACAGAAACAAGTTCACACAACAAAAACCTAAATACTTATTTACTATTACCTACAAATCATTCCATTCGCATTAATTTAATTTGTGAATAAATTATTATATACAAATTATCACTTTTTTATTCAATCTGTAAATATAAAAAACGTTTATTAATTTTACGAAATAAGCCAGCAAAAACTGCAGGAAGTTCACAGTTATGAATTTTTTTTTAATTTTCTTTTTTCTTTTTTTTTAAATTTCATTTTTTTTTCTTTAATTTTCTTTTCGTAATTTATTTTAACCTATTTTTTTATGTAGAAGTTTATGTGCGGAAGATCTATTCTTTTGAAAAATGTTTATACGTTACTAGTCGTTACTAAAAAAAAAATTTGCTTGATGTTTTTCTGCAACCTTTTTTTTGCAGAAAGCCTTTTCTTCAGTAGCATTTTGCCAAGAAGTGGGAAGAAGCAGTTATCCAGATTTCAATATACCTTATATTTAACGTATCGGTAAGATTATCAATCTTGAATTTGATTGGACGTCATTGGTAATATAATCGTTTCGGTCTCCGGATGATCAGGCCGGTTATCACGTGATCGAACCTGGCTTTAACAGTTCCTCTCTGTAATATAGTTAATAGTTATTAATATTAGTTGAATTCTAATCTGTAACTTTGGTTATACTATCTAGAATAGGAGCTTTGATGCAATAAATTCAAGAAACTAGAATAACAAAAAACTTATTTGGCAAGCCTTAAGTTGGAAGGTAGTATAATTTTTGATAGTGCTACAAAAAACTAAATTTGGAATTAGAGACTAAGACCAGAGTACTAAATGACCAGGTTCTTAAGTAGAGGGACATACTAGCCAAACCACCAGATCACCAAACTAGAGAAAAAAGACATATGCTTTAAAAGCATGTACCAAAAAGAAAAAGACTATGAGATATATAAAACCTAGGCAGACTAACTCTTCCAGATTACTGGCTAGAAGTAAAAGAGAGATCGATAAAGAATTTGAGAAAGAAAAAAAATTTAAATATAGATATTGGGGTTATATAAACCTTACAAAGGCAAGAAGTATATAATAGAAAAACTAATTAAGAAGGTTGTGGCTTAAGATATAAGCTAAGTTATAGCAGTATTATAAAAGATAGCTTGAGATATGAACCTGGTAGTGATAGCACAACAGGTACTAGTTAGAAAAGTATATTACCAAATATACAAGTAAAAATATATGTAAGATATAAACTACTTTGTTAGATTTATCTCATAGATAGATTAGCCAAAAATAGTTAGTAAGTTCTAAAGTAGATGTGAAATTTACAAGTATTACAAAATCTAGTATATAAATAGTAAGTTATGCCTTGGTTAGATTAGTAATAGATAGTAGTTATAACTAAAAGGTTTAAATAAGTATCTTTTATAGTTGAGATGCAGGCATAGCAGATAGTATAGAACCTTCGAGTAGATTACTTAAATTAGGCATCAAAAGTACATATATAGCTTGATGTACTCTCATTGTAACTATAATCTAAAATTAATAATTTAATAAAAAGTTCTTGGTCATAGAGATTACCTTAATACCAAAAAAATATATATATATTTATTAGCTAATTTAGTAACTTTACAATATTTGAATATGATTAATCTTGAAGATTACAATACTATTTATTATAGCTAATTTAAAATAATTTATTAAAGCTAAGATATTATTTTTAGAAAATCTTATTTATTTTGATAATAATAAAGCAAGTAAAATATTTAAATATAAAGATGTTGTAGTATAATTAAAATTTGAAAATCTGTTTATTATACAAAATTATTGTATTGTATATTATCATCATCTTGTAGATTAAGATACTGCTAAAAAAGTTAAATATTTTTCAAAATATAAAATAATTATTAAAGATACTTATACATATTTTAGTAATTTATACAAAAGAATTTATCAGCTAAAAATAATTTAAAATTATCTAGATAAATCAGAATTAGCTATACTCAATATAGTTAAAACATATTGGCTTTCTTTTTCTAATATGATTAATAATTTTTATTAAATTGTTAATTCAATTATAGAAGCTCTTTTAAAGAATACTAGTATAAAAAAAAAAGCTTTAAATATTTTTTCATGAATAAATAATAATTTTATTTTTGCAACAAAATTTTTGACAAATTTTTTTTATATTCTTGAAAAACTAATTCAATATTTTAATCAAATTATATTATATTTTCTAATATTCAATATTATATTAATATAACAATTAAGACAATTCAAACATTATTTATTGTAATTAAGAATATACTACCAATATTTGGCAAATATTTAAATAACTATTTTGATTAAATTGAAATATGTTATGATGATTTTCTATTAGATATTATTACTTTTATAACAGATTTTTGAGATGAAGTAATTGAAAGTTTAAAAAAAAGGATTTTCTAACTCAATTCTATATACCGCTATACAAATTTTTAATTCTAAAGAATTACCAAAACAAGATCGAAATCTAGTTTATTATAGTACAAAAGAAATTAATATACTTGAAGAATTTTATAAAATATCCAAAACAAAAAACAACAAAATATTTGATACTATTTTAAATAATACAAGAATGGAGTTTAATAACATTATACTTGAAAAATTATTTATTTTTTACTTTTCTTAAAACCTAAAAACAGATTTTTACTCAAACTTTATATATTTAAATATGACTATTTGAATATTTTTCAATTAGTAGCAATTTTGCTTATTATTCTAGTTTCAAATGCGGATGTTAAAAAAGTATTTTCTCAACAAAAGTTAATTAAAACACGTATTAGAAATCAAATATCTATAAACTCTTAATAATCATCTTATAATTGTTATAAATAGTTCTTTAAATTCTTTTGATTTTGAAAAAGCTTATAGTTATTGGGCACTTTATACTCATCATCATTAATATTAAAATTATAATAACATACTAGTTAAAAGTGAATAAATTAGATTATATTGTATAATTAGATAATTAATAATAATATATATATTCTAAAATTGCTTGTTGTTATTTAATAATTATCTGCGCGCACATTTAAAAAAATTTTATGTGCGCTGTAGCGCACTAAGATCTATATGTAATGTGCGGCCCGCCCGCAATTTTGATGCTAAATTTTCAACACTGCAATAAGTTAGCCAGCCTATGTAAAATTCGAGATAGCATATTTCACTGTAAACCACCTTAATGATAGAATAGACGCGGGTCTGATGCTTGGATTTAGGATAAAAAGCAAGAAACTCGGGTCTATAACATAATTTATATTATATCAACATATTAATGTTTTTAGGTTTTACATATATTTTCGCGTCCCTCTTAGTAATAGACCTTTCTTACAAGACCCCTGGGGTCTAAATCGGTTTTTTGACAGGTTTAAAATAAGATATCTCGGGTGAAATACGATCACTTCACTATGTATAAGGGGGTGACTGGCTGTGCACTCTATTTAGTATAAAAAATCTGTTTAGATGCTTAATCTTTATATACACATAAGTGCATCAAAAACATCACTTTTTTACCTAACTTTAGTCGCCAAAAATTTTGCCAAATATCATATCTGATATCGTGTGACTGTACGTACGTACGTATTTGTACTTTGGTACTTTGGTTTTTAAAACATTTCATTTTTGACATAACACATAATGGGTAGATTAACAAGGAGTAAGGTTGTGGCAGACAACCTTTCAGTCGAAAAGGTTACAAAAAAAGGGCAAAATGCAGAAGGAAGCGATGTAATTATAATTATAAAATAAATTGTTTTCTTTATAATCAAAATTTTTATAAATAAAATTGTTTTTAAAATACAGCGAACTGGGACGGAATTCTATTTAGAAATTTGGAATGTGATAAAGAACCATAGAGATAGCAGGTTATAAATTCGTGCTGTTATAACAGATGTATAAACGAAAGTTTCTCTGTACTAATTTCTATATTTTTATATAGGAATCGGCTGATGGCAAAACTTTTCAATACATTGCCGGATAGGAGGCACTATCCAGATTATTATGAGGAGGTTTAGTAGTTGAGATGAAAAGTACTGAGTTTATGAGAAAATGTATGATGCGATATTTTGGTTCAAATTCAATTAATTGAAATGATTTATTCTGGCAACTAAAAATTAGATAAAAAAACCAATTTCGCTAGATATTATCAAGGTTTTTATTTTATTTTATGATTTTTTTTTTGACTTATTCATATAATATTGCAGAGAGATAATGATGCTGAAATATTTAATACACGTTTCTAATCTGGTTGATTATATTTACAAAATTTCGCAAAACTTCATAATCTCATTTAGAAAAAAATAGACCGTAAAGAATATCCAGATAATGAATCATTTGAATCGGATCTTGATTTAATGTTCGAGAATGCCAAGAAATATAATGTGGAAGGCTCACAAATATATAATGATGCCAAATCATTACAGGTATGGATGTCTATATTTTTATTTATTTTTCGTGTAATTTATGTATTTGATCTTTATAAAATTTGAACATTCAGAGATTAGCACATAATCTCTTAGGAGACAAATATGTTAAAACAAAAGAAGGGAGTGAAACGTATAAAACATTCGACAAGATCGAGTATAATGGCGAAACCTATAATATAGGTAAACACTGAACTTTCTGGTATACGTACATATTTGTATTATATTTATTAAAAATTGTATGAATTTTTGTAGGCGATTATGTACATATTGTTAACGAACTTGACCCAGATAAACCAAACGTTGGACATATTTTTAGAATTTGGAAAAATCACAAGTATATAATTTGGTGTTTTTTATTCAAATATTGATTTATAGTATGTCTAATGTTCATATTTGTTTAGAGGTGAAAACGGAGTCAATGTTTGTTGGTATTATCATCCTGAACAAACTAAGCACCAAGTTAGCAAGAAATTCTTCCAAAATGAAGTGTTCAAAACAAACACATTTCATGACCACTTAATGCAAGATGTTTTAGGAAAGTGCTTTGTCTTGCAAGTTAAAGACTATGTCAAGGGGCGGCCAAAAGGAGGCGAGAACAAGTCAGTTTATGTATGCGAATCAAGATATAACGAAGGCAGCAAAGTTTTTAATAGAATAAAGAATTGGCATCATGTAATGCCCAAAGGATTTGACTTTAAAAAAATTGAACTCGATAAATACGAAACGCCAATTACATTGAGAAAAAATGAGAGTCCATTAGCGGCTGAATGGTTAGCTGCTCATGACAAGGTGGATGAATCACAAAAGTTAGAAACATCTGAATTTGAACAGATGTCAACACCAGTGTCAGCATCTGAATCTGTATCTGCATCTACAACAATGACACAAACAGCAACACCTAAACCTATAAGTATGAAAAGACAACAAACAGCCAACCAGTTTACCGATAATTTAAATCAACATCCACTTGTACCTTCACAGTTTTCTTCTAATGTACAACCACAATATAATCATTCAATGGTTCCTCAGCACCCAATGGCTCCAATGAACCCTTCTATGATGATGGGAAGGTTACATGGCTACGGATATAATACTCCTTATCAACATCCACAATCACATCATATGATGATTTCTCCTCAGTATATACACCCACATCATTATCCAATGATGCCATCACCAATCTCACATAACATGACTCAAATTCCAGAAACTTCTAAAGCGATGCCTAAGCCTTTTCTAAGACGAACGACATCTGTCGTATCTAACAATAACGTGTCTCAAATCTTTGAATTGCCTTCAGAAACAGGTTTGTTAATTTAATATTTATATTTATAACACTAAGACAATTTTACTAAGATCTTAACACATAATTAGCCGAGCAATTTGCACGTGACGACAAAGGAAGAATGCTTTGGTTTGTTACTCCACCAATAGATGTAATACCATTACCACGACCTGTACATTCAATAGAATATCTTTATAGACGAGAAGAAATTAAAAAGCGCAAGGTAATGCGATTTGGATTGATTCTTTTTATATTGTTGGTTAGAGCGCGTCTGATTTTTATTTTTCGGATAGAAAGCACAAGAGACAAATTCCATTAGTGAAAGTCAACCTGAACGGCCACAGAAAATACAAAATCTCTCACATCCTGATGCTAATAGCATAATGAATGATGATAAACTACTAGACATTATTGAAGGTATTTAATAATTTTAGTCCCATTCATTTTTATTTATTTTTTATTTATATACTTATTATGTTGTTTACCTTATTAGGATTAGCGAGCACTTGGAAACAAGATGCTATATCACTTAGTCAGAAATTTGGCATGCCTTCAAATTATATGGAAATAAATGATGATATCTAACCTTAGTCATATAATAACAATGTAGTATATTGAGTTTTTAATATTCGAGAACTCTGAATTGGGTAAAGCTATTTTAATAAATTATCAAAATTATTTTGTCATTTAAATAAAATATATTTTATGCGTGCATAAGGAGTTACGTAAACGGTTGACGCTATAAATTCGGAATATTCTAGCATTTCATTTTATTTGTCATCATCAATTTCTAATAAAGATGTTTATCTGATATCACGTAAAAATTATCGTTATATAAAGCGTACATTTCAATTTCAGACTAATCTTAAAAATACTAAATTTAATGGCCGAAGATTTAAGTACGTAATTGAACATCAAATATGCGCTAACGCTAACTAAATGCGAAACTTTTTACTGATAACGCCTATTAATAAATTTCAGTTAGCTTTCAAGTCACATTCAAAGGAAAAACTATTCAGGTGGAAAATTTAACGTTAAGTCATACGATTCGAGAATTAAAAGAGCATCTCGCAGAAGAGACGAACATTCCTGTAGAATTCCAGAAATTGTTTTATAAAGGTAAATTCGTTTAAAATGTTAACAGGGTCACATTATTCTCATTTAACGTTGTTTTACTCTCTAGGTCTACTTAATAATGATTCTACTCTACTAGAATGTAAATTTAAGAATGGTATCAAAGCATTACTGGTAGGAAGTTCTCAGCAAGAAATTCAAACAGTTAATGCGGCAGATTCGAAAGTTATACACCAGTCGTCAAAATCAAAATATGCAATTAATGTAAGTATCAACTTTCTTTCGTGAATATGATTTTTTTTTTGTTTATAATTGTAACATTGAAAATTTTTGCAGCCATACAAAAATATTAGAACCGAAAATTCATTAGATAGTAATTATACATTTCATAAAATTGAAGTTATTGAACATTTTCCTAATCCTGATCGGGCCCGTGCCTTACTTGAGAAGTTACGCGATGATCGAGGCATCCGTGCAATAATGTCACACTATAAATGGAGTGTGGGGATACTGCAGTAAGATTTTTTTTTATACGTATATTAGTATGTTGTGTGTCAGATTAAATCTGCATTCAATAAAAAATTATTTTAATTACTATCCCGAATCTAAATGTGATCTGATGCAATTTTTATTCTAACTCACAACATATATATTTGATTTACGTACGTCTTTTTTAATCTCAATTATTATTTTTTTATGTTTTATTAACGAACTTTGTTAGGGAATTAAGCCGTAAGGATTCTAAAACCTATATCACTTATCGCTTTTTTGATCATAATTTGATAAATCAAACTATTATACAGCTGCTGAAAAAACAATCTTAGGATTTAACAGAAATGCCGGACAATTAATTTCTTTAAGATTGCGTACGGATGATATACAAGGATTTAGGCATTACCCCGAAATCAGACGTGTCTTGTTACACGAACTCACGCATAATGTTTGGAGCGAACACGATGACAATTTCCATCGTTTGAACAGGCAATTAAATAAAGATGTTGGTAAGTTTAATGATAAATTTAGCTTTTAATTTTAATAAAAAAAAAAAAGTATGATAGCCTTGTTCATTAATATTTTAAAAGTTTCAATGGATTGGACTGCGTCAAAATCGCACAAAATTTCAAATGAAGAATTTTATAACCCACCAGAGGAAGAAGAAATTGATGCACGCTCGTGGGAAGGCGGTACATATGTATTGGGTGGAGATCCATCTCGTGCTGATATTCTATCAAGGCGAGAGCTCTTGGCGGAATCAGCTTTGATCCGAGTGACAAAAGAATAAAAGGAACTAACTGAGGGATGCGGTTCTCACAGGCATTCGGATAAATCCGATGATAATTAACGTTAATATTAGTACTAAATATATATTAACACCTGTAGTAAACCCTCTGGAAGTGCATATCCTCTTCGTATACAAACCTTTGTCTGTACCTAAGCCTGGGCTTAAAGATAAGTTGCACCTTCAATATTTTACGAGTGCGAGTGCAAGTCCCGGGTTTATACAACAACAGCAAATCAAATTTACATTGTGATCACACGTACAAGTACACGAGTATATTTGATTCTAAACGTATGTGCGTTTATACGTGCGGAGGCGTTATTGTTAATTTTTTATATTAAAGTTATACACACATTCTTTAAATGCACCTTGTCTTAAGGACGTGAATTTAATGAAAATGTTATTATATTTTGCATCATTACTTTTTATTTATATATCTATTTTTTTTAATGTATATCTATAATTTTAATAGATTAACTAAAAATATTTTAACAATCAAAATTATTACTATTAAAAACGTTAAAATTAATAAGAATGATCAATCAATCAATTCTTAATACCAACAGAGATTTTTGTCATCTGCGTAAACGTTTTTTAAACCTTTCAGCAACTATATCATCTGTGGCCATTTCTCTGCGTTGTCCAGCTTTATAATGAGGTTGATTTAACTGTTCTTGTTGATTTCGTTCATGATCGCTGACCGTCGAACGAGTGCGATAAACTGTTAAACCAAAAATAATCAGTTTACATTCTAATATAGACAACAATAAATGCGGAACCTACATCTATTAGTCGCTGAGAAATTTGATCCCTCAAACTAATCCATAAAATAAAAACAAATTCATAGTTAACTTTTATTAATGAATTTAACTGATTGATTACAAAATTATTTAGCTCACAGTATCATCTTCCTCTTTAGGTTTCTGATGTCTCTGTTCTAATAGCTTGCGCTTTGCCTTTTCAGTTTCTTCAATATTCTTCAATCGCACACTGTCAAAAGAAAAATTAACATATTAGGATTTATGTAAATTAATGAGAACAATAATATGCGTACTAACTCTATTCCAAGATCGACTTCAGGTATAGCGGTAAGCATAGTGGTTGATAATTGAACGTTTCCTTCTGATATCGGTCTGCTTT